TTTCTCCCACTTCCTCCCGATAGTTACCTCTTCCCTGTGTCCTTCCCTCCCATGCACTCCTGCCCCCCACCTTGTCTCCCTGTACATACACAGCCCTTCTGTTCTCCCATGACTGATCTCTCCAAGGAGTGTATCTACTTAATGTCAATGTTCAGCTCATACCCTGTCTTTTGTTTGGCTGGAAGCCACAAGAGTGAGTTAAATTCCAGACCTGAAGGGCAACTAGGGCCCATAGTCTCAGGGGTTCCACCAGGCTCTTATCAGACCAGCAAACCTGATCTTACAGGGATATTTTTACAAAAATATATTTCTGCTGAAACACTGCACAAAAATTTTAGTCATTTTGGTGTCATTCCCTGACAGTGTCAACCAATGGGGTCCACACCCCCTTAGTGACACCAGTGTCGACAGATGAAGCAAGGAGCTCAAGATAGAGCCCTGAGGTTTGCCTATGTATTAAAGTTCAGGGAAATGAAGACTGTCTGGGAACACAGGATAGATGGAGAAGCCAGTAGGTAGGAGGAAAATCAGGCAAATGTGGTATCACACAAGGCAGGCAACTGTGAAGATCAGATGTTGATTAGATTCAGAAATGTGGGAGTCATTAGTGACTTAATAAAGTAGTGGAGTACTGAGGTCAACAGCCTAATAATGCATTGCCTATCAGATGACCTGGCCAAGTCACTGATCCTGGAAAAGCTCTACAGTCATCGTGTGATGTAATAGGAAAATCGTAAGATCATCCTTGGAGGCACTGTTGCCCAAAAGACATTCTGGGTACCGGTAGGAAAATGTAAGTATGGGCTGTATGTCAGTATTGTTGTTGTTTTGTTGTTATATGCCGTCGAGTCAGCCCAGACTCATAGCGACCCCTCCTTGGGTTTCCGAGGCAGTATCACTACAGAAGTAGATTGCCCAACCTTCCTTCCAAGAAGTGTCAATATTAGGAAATTATTATTCCAAGTGTTAGTGATAATACTGCCACCTTTAATATTGCCTTGTCTACAGCTTTCGAGACACATAAAGCAAGTATGGTAAAATAACTTCAATTTAAGTGGATCACTGGACTATTTAAACTTTCCTATGCTTTAGTTTTTCCTTAATAAGACACCTAAACAAAGGGGAGAAGATGAATTGCAAGAAGTATAGCAAGTCCCTGAGTTCTGATCTAAAGGGAAGCAAAACAATAGGGAATGAGCCACTAAAGAAAACAATCAGATGATGCAGGGAGGAGAGGACTGCTGGACTTGTGGCTTTGAAGGAGATGGAGATTTGGATCTAGTGCGTGCTATTAAGGGGCAAATGCTGAAGCCGTAGGCAGGACAATTAGGCACTTGAGTAGAATACATTTAAAACAGTTATTTCATTTTGAACAGCAATGACTATAATTTTGAAGTAAGGGAACAGACAGATCAGTAAAGTAAAAACCATCAGTTCCAACCATTTCTTAGATCCCCTTTAAAAAAAAAAAAAAAAAGCCCACTGCCGTCAAGTGGATTCCAATTCATAGCCACCCCCACTGGGTTTCCAAGGAGGTAAATTTTTACGGAAGTAGATTACCCAGTCTTGCTTCTGCAGAGTGTCTGGTGGATCTTCTAGAGAGCATATTAAACAGTTCCAGCACTGCCACCCCCCATTCTTCTAAAGAAGTTTCTAGAGATGGAAACAGAATCTTTCCTAGAAAAAACTCTTGTAGATAATGCTCACGCAATGTCACATTTGGAAACCATTTTATTTAGGTTCATGTCAAGTTCTCTTGCCATAGGCTTTGATATTTTAAGCCTCCATACTTACTTCTCAGATTATATACTTCTTCAAAAAATAATTCTAAATAAGTATGTGCTCTGGTTAATCAGAAATTTACTGAATACATTTCAGTAACATAAATACAGCATCGTAAGAGAATGGATTGCCTTTACTAAGATCAATCAATGACTGTCAATATTAAATTCTGCAGATACTTCCATATTAAAAGCAATTTAAGGGAACTTTGGGAATTAAGAAATCCCACGGCCCTGAGTTAACACCTGGCTGACTGGAAGAGGTTCGTATTTGTAGAAAGAATGTAGAAATTATTGAACAGTATCATTAATATAAGGAGCTCTGGTAGCACAGTGCCTAAGGTATCTGACTGCTAACAAGAATTTGTACCATTCTTTGGAATGGTACAAATACGAACCTCTTCCAGTCAGCCAAGTGTTAACTCAGGGCCTTGGGATTTCTTAATTCCCAAAGTTCCCATAAATTGCTTTTAATATGGAAGTATCTGCAGAATTTAATGTTGACAGTCATTGATTGCTCTTAGTAAAATGCAATCCATTCTCTTACGATGCTGTATTTATGTTACTGAAATGTATTCAATAAATTTCTGATTAACCAGAGCACATACTTATCAAATCCACCAGCCACTCCATGGAAGCAACACTGGGCAATCTACTTCCATAAAGATTTACTGCCTCAAAAACCCAACATGGGTCGCTATGAGTTGGCACTGACTTGATGGCAGTGCTTTTTTTTTTTTTTAATCATTAATATCACACACAAAATTTTGCTGAAGGTACTTCAAAAAACGTTTGCACCAATACATTGACAAGGAACTGCCAAAAATTCAAGCTGGATTTACAGGAGGATGTGGAACAAGGGATAGCATTATTGATATCATGTGCATGTTGCTGAAAACAAGAGATTACCACCAGACTGACTCTCATCTGTGTTTTGTTGAGTATGCAAAGGTCTTTATGTGGATCATAAATTATGGATAACATTTCAAAGAATGGGAACTCCATAACACTTAATTGTGGTCATGAAGGACCTGTGCATAGACCAAAATGCAGTCCTTTGAATAGAACAAAGGAATGCTGTGTGGTTTAAAAAGGTGTGCGTCAGGGCTGTATCTTTTCATCATACTCAGATCTGAAGCACTTATTGATGAAGATCAAAGATTACAGCCTTCTGTATGGATTACACAACTTAAGGAAAACAAAAATCCTCACAACTACACCAACAAGCAACATCAATAAACAAACAAACAAAAAAATACTGAAGTTGTCAAGGATTTATGTGGATCCACATTTAACACCTATGGAACCAGCAGTCAAGAAATCAAATGACATTGCCCAGTGCAAATCTGCTGTAAAAGACCTCTTTAAAAGCGTTAAAAAGCAACGATGTCATTTTGAAGACTAAAGTACACCTGACCCATGCCACGGCATTTTCAGCTACTTCATTTATGCAAAAGTTGCCTAACAAGGAAGACAAGAGAAGAATTGATGCCTTTGAATAATAGTGCTGGTGAAGAATACTGAATATACCAAGGCCAGAAGAACCAATCTGTCTTGGGAGAAGTACAGCCAGAATGCTCCTTAGGATCAAGGATGAGACTTCATCTCATATGCTTTAGCCGTGTTATCAGGAAGGACTGGTTCCTGGAGAAGGGTATCATGCTTGGTAGAGGGTCAGCAAACAAGAGCAACACCCACACAAGATGGACTGACATAGTGGCTGCAAAAATGGGCTCAAACACAGCAATGACTGTGGGTATGGCACAGGACCGCAGGGTTTTGTTGTACATGGTGGTTGCTGTATGAGTCAGGACCAACTCAATGGCATCTACTAACAAGGCCCTGGGTGGTGAACATTTAATATTTCGGGTGCTTAACAAAAAGGTTGGAGGTTTAATTCTACACAGAGGTAACTCACAAGGCCTGGTGAAGTTTTTTTTTTTTTTTCAAAAAATCAGCCACTGAAAATCCTATGGAGCAGAATTTTACTCTGACATACATGGGGTTACCTCAGCAGCCAATAGCTGAGTGAAGAAAAGCCTCCAGCTCCACTGGGCTGGGAGCAAGGAGCAGAGCTGAAGCCCAGGTTTGAGGGGCTTTCACCCAGAGCCCCAAGAGCCTGGCACTTTGAACTGAGACTTAAAGCCTCCAAACTGCAAGAAAATAAACTCCTGTTTGTTACAAAGTAATCCCATTTGTGGTATATTACTATCAGAGCGGCAGCAGGTAGCCAAAACAGTAAGATGGATTAACACAGTAGCTACAGTGGGATCAGCTATGCTACTTGCATCTCATGGATAGAAGCCATCTGTTGTTAGTTGCCATGGAGTTGATTCCAACTCATGGTAACCCCAGGCATGCAGAATACAACTCCGTGAAGATTTTAAGGCTATGACCTATTGGCAGCAGATACCAGGCCTTGTCCTCCAAGGCATCTCTAGGTGGGGGTCTAACTACCAACCTTTTGGCTAGTAGTTGAGCATTTCACCATTTGTGCCACCCACAAACTCTCCTATGGAGGCCAGAGATATTGTGACACATCCCACATTGCACAGAACAGCCCCTCACAACAAAGATTTGTCCAGCCCAAAATGTCAGTAGTGCTGAGGCTGAGAATCCATCCATGTACTAGATCACTATACCAATGCTTCTCAGATACTAATGGCCACATGAATTACTTGGGAATCTTGTGAAAGCTCAACACCACTTTTTGGGCTCATTTTAAAAAAAGAATTGATGAAATATAATCACCAAAGCTAAAAAGAAAAAAAGTCTGTTTCTTAATTTGTTTTACTAATTAGGTGAATTGTAAAAGAGTACTTCCCAGTACATTCATGATTTATTTAATTAGTGGAAATGTGCTATTATTATAATTCAACAACAAAAATCACTGTTTTGATCCCATCATTGCAGGAAACTTAAGCCACTTTGTATGGAAAATGAGCTAAATATGTTGTTTTACACTTTCACATATCAAATCACTAACAAAAACCACAACTGGATTCTACTTTAGGCAAAAATTCTTTGAGGCAAAACTCAACAGCTGTGAAACTGCTCTGTTATGTACCGAACATTCTATAATGCAGTTATAGGAATTAAAAGAATGTGGAGTTATAGAAGTAGTTTAGAATCAGAACTCAAGTTTTATAATAGCACACAAATCTTAGACAATATGGCATATTAAGATTGACTTCATTTCATTTCTGGAAAATGCTTACATTTAAAGCACTGACTTTATTCACATACTACGCATCCATCTGTTCATTAAAAAACAAGCAGATTAAAAGAAATGCTTTATTCTTTCAACTGAATTCCAGTACTATAAGGGCAGTAAAATAATGATACACTGGGGGGAGGGGAATGCAGCAACATTTGTTAAGAAGACTGATAGAATAAATAAAAACTACCAAAAGAAATCATATAAACCCATTCATAAACCTAAGAAGTCCCAAAATATAGAATACCCTCCTCCTCCACCCATTTTACAGGCTCTTTGCTTAACAATGTCCTGGAATTACATTCTAAATTATTAATAACTGGTTACAACTTGGTTGCAGTGGGAGGAAAAAAAAAAAATCACACTAACTTCAGTCTGAAGTGTCATTCTACAGTTTTATTTACACACAGTAAAAGGCATGTTCTAGAATACCAGCTTTAATCCTTTTCAAACATATCATTAATATAAGAAGCCAAATTGTAATGATACAGCAAATGAGGCCACTGGCATTAATACAGGTAGCAAACGTCCACATCCAGGTGGTAGTGACATCAAGGAAATTTCCAAAACCAGTTGCTGCCTAAGAGTGGCTGCCACTGACGAAAAGCTCGAAATAACCTGTATTCACAGGGGGTATTGGCATTGCTGCATGTCATAATTGAGACCTCTTGGACAACTCAACAAGGAACAAGGCAGCCCACGATTGCAGAAAACTTGATTCATGAAACATCTGAATGGGAGGAGAAAAGACAGTGCAAATACTGGGTCAAAATTCAAATACACACCAAATCCTCATCCCCGATACTGCCCCCTTGTTGTTGTTATGTGCCGTTCAGTCGGCCCTGATGCACAGCGACCTCTCCTTGAGTTTTGGAGGCAGTATCACTACAGAAGTAGATTGTCCAACCCTCCTCCTGAGGAGTGGCTGGTTTAGGTTTGAACCGCCAGCCTTCTGGTTAGCAGTCAAGTGCCTCAGGCACTATGCTACCAGAGCTCCTTTTGCCCCCTTAGTAACAAGAGTAAGCCTTGTCAAGTCTGTTGTCTATTTTCTACATGATTTTTCTCAAAAATTTTGTTAAAATCTATTTTTGGATATGAAAATAAATAAATGTCTTTTCTTTAAAAGATTATCTTGTTTTTCAGTTTGTAACTTCAAAAATGAAATACTTACAACTAGCAGGCTGTTCTCCATATCGTCGCATTATTTGATCATGCGTAAACTTCACAAATGCATCATATTGTTCTATAAATAAAGATGTATGTTAATTACACAACTGGTAAAATACCTTCCCAAAATACTGAAAAAAACTAAACCCACTGCCATTAAATCCATTCAGACTCATAGTGACTCAAACCCTTCAAAGTAGATTGTCTTATCTTTCTCTTGCGGAGTTGGCTGGTGGGTCCCAGACCACTGACCTTTCTGGTTAGCAGCCGAATGCCTTAACCACTGTGCTACTAGAGCCCTTCCCTAATAGATCTATACTCTGCAAATCCAAGATATATAGTGAAACAATTCTAAATTGGCACTTCAATCTGATACTCACATGTCCTCAGTAATTAAAGCACAGACCAGGTTTTACTCAAATCACATATGCCCTGGGCTAGACTTATTTGCTAACCTATTAAAAAGCTTGAAATAAAAAGATACCTCTCCACTCTGAAAGTTCATTCTAAGTGGTCTATGAATGGCAATTTGCCACAACGAAGAGTTCTGGTAAGATGGAGGAATGGGCAGAAAGACTGCACAGACCCTCTTCAACAACGAAAAGGAGAACCAATTAACACAGATACAGAAGATAATCCTGGACCCTTAAGCCTTGAAGGGAAGGATATAGAAGTGGACTAAATTCCAACTAGCAGAAGAATTTACATGAAAACACCAAAAAGGAGACAAATGGAGCTGTGGTCTGGCAGCGATCCTGAGGGCACAGACAGACTGGATATTGTGGAGTGGTGGTAGGACCTAAGAATTAACCTAATAATCAGCCCTGTTACCCAGGGACTGCACAGAGGACTGCTCTGGTGGCTGGGGAATAAAAGAGGAAGCAGCAAAGAGGAAGGCACTTTTGTCTGTCCGGCAGGCGCAGTCATTTTGAAGGTTTACAAGTGGTTTGACCATTTTGAGTATTTAAAGCAATAGCGTTTTCCCAGATTCCAGGGACTTAAGAACAGGATCCACTTGCTGGGAACCCCAAGGACATTCCAGACACGGACGACTGGAAAGCTGTGACATTCCCCTTGTTACTCTTACATCCCACACTCTCTTGGTGAACGGAAGTACGGCCATCCCTTACTCCCACCCACCTTCTGGGCCAGCAGGAACTCCATATCCCAGTCTGTGTCCTCAGATGGAGCCTAGGTGCCCTGCCCCAATTTATTTTTCTTTTTTCTGTTTTTTAGTGTGTTTGTTTTTGTCAGTTTTAAAACTATTATTATTACTTTTGTCCTTTTTACTATTATTCTTTATTCTTTCCCTCTTAGGTCCTAGTTTTCAGCTTTTTTTTTTTTTTTCCTGTTCCTGGCTGCAATTTTTTTTTTCTTGCTTGTGGTTAATCTCATTACTTGTTTCTCATTTTGCGTTTTTCTCAGTTTTTTTCTTCATTATTTTCCTCTACATTTTTTCTCTTACTGCTTTCTTCCCAGATACTGCTTTTTTTTTTTTTTCTTTTTCCCTTTTTTTCTTTTTTGGTTACTGTTCCTGTGTGATTACATGGTGTGTGTTTGGTCCATTTGCTTTCACTTTTTTGATGGTTATTCAGTTGTTATTTTTGTCTAACTGAGTGGAACGCAGCAAAAGTCCCCCATACAACACAACTTCACCCACACCTCCTGCAGCTTCACTTACTGAGTGAGAGCCTCCACTTCCTTTTCTACCAATGGGCCAACGATAACCACCAAGAAGAGCCTGACTCACCCTTAGCTGCTCTTCACAAACAGTTAACAGAGATCTAAATACAACACTACCACGATGTCTTGGACACAACAGACCATTCACAGTCCACACAAAGAAGCAAGATAAAGGGGTAGAAACAAAGGAGCAGGATACAGACCCACAACACATCCCTGAGGAAGCAGCAGCATTGGAACTCTCTGAGAAGGAATTACAAGAGTTACATTTATTTATCTTCAAAGAATTGAGAGACAGACCAAAGAAAACACTGACAAAACCCTAGAAGAATTCTGGAAGAAAATACAAGAACAAAATGACAAATGAAAAATTAGAAATGATTTTAAAATCTACAGATAGAAATCCAGAAGATTAATACTAAATTGTCAGAAATAGATTAACATGTTGAAAGGGCAAAGGAGCAGAACTGATGCAATGGAAGACAGTTAATGAGAGTGAACACAAATACCTGAATACTTCTTTGGAAAGCGATAATCAGAAAAAAAGATCAAAACAAAATGAAGAAAGCCTAAGTAAGGTTCATATGGGGTACCAACAAAAGGAGTAACCTATATGTCACTGGAATTCCAGAACAGGAAGAGAAAAATAAAATGACTGAGAAGATTTGTTGGAGGACAACTTGCCTGATATGATGAAAGATGAAAATATATCCATTCAGGAAGTCCAATGAACCCCAAACAGGACAGACCCCAAAAGAAAATCACAGAACATATCATCATTAAACTCATCAAAACCAAAGACAAAAAAATAGAATCCTGGAAGCAATATGGGAAAAACAAAGTTACTTAAAAAGGACAACCAGTAGGAATAAGCTCTGATTTCTCAGCAGAAACCATGCAAGCGAGAAGGCAATAGGATGGTATATATAAAACCCTGAAAGAGAAAAATTTTCGTCCTAGAATTATATACCCAGCAAATTGTCCCTTAAATAGGATGGTAAAATTAGGAGATTTTCAGCTAAGCAGAAACTAAGGGAAATTGTTAAAACCAGACCAACCCTACAAGAGATACTAAACGAAGTCCTATGAACAGAGAACCAAAAATAGCAAACAACAACCGACCATTAATAAACAAGATGACATAATCCAGAAACATAGCTATGGACATATCCAAAGTAAAATAAGCTTACAAGATTGTAAACAGGGAACCAGAGACTTCAATTGGCAAATGAGGCCAACTACAAACCAAAAAGAGGGAAAATACTGTGTTACAGTTCTGTGTTACAGAACTTCTAAATGGTGAGGAAGTCAAGAGAGTTGCAAGATAGAATGGGCTGTTCTAAACTCAGGGAGAAAATTATAAATCACAGGGTAACCTCAAAGAAAAATGATAAACC